AATATTGTTGGGAATTTATTCTCTGTTTCAGTTTTGTTTTGGACCAGCAAGTATGTTTGTGCAAAGAAGTAGGATGTAGGTTTCATTTACAGATAGTATCAGGTTGGGCATTTATTATTTGCTTTCACTGATGTTTGTTTTGCACCGGCAATTATGTCTGTGCAATGAGGTAGGATGTAGGTTTCACCTACACATAATGTCAGGTTGGACATTTATTATCTACTTTCACTTATGTTTGTTTTACACCAGCAATTATGTCTGTGCAATGAGGTAGGACGTGAGTTCCACCTACAGATATTGTAAGGTTGGGCATTCATTCTCTCCTTTCATCTATGTTTTGCACTAGCAATTTATACTTGTGCAAGGAGGTAGGCTATAGCTTTCACCTACAGACAATGTCTGTTTAGGCATATATTCGCTGGTTTAAGTTTTGTTTTGCACCAGCAATTTATGTCTATGCAAAGAAGTAGGATGTAGGTTTCACTTACTCATAATGTCAGTATGATTAAAGTTGTATTCTTTATGTGCAGGCATTTTAGAGGGCAAAGGGGCACACCTATATTGGACCCAAGTTGTTCCAAACGAAAAGGGGCACCAAGGAAGAACAGGCTAAAATCTAATCTTGATTTCAGGCTATGATTGCATATATTGTACTGGTGTTGTCATATTACGTGACCATTAACTGGAGCAAAGCTACATTTCTTGTTAAGTTTTTGGTATGCATTTGCTCACACACTTTTTGGTAAGCAATACTTATTTTGTCGGCAAGTTGAACACTAAGTATGTAAATAGCATTTCCTTATGTAACGGTTGAACACTTATACTTAATAGTTTTTTTGTTAAATACACCAGCACTTAATGTCAGGATGTTACTGGTTTTGTTCAATAAACCAACACTTTTTGTCTGTACAACTGATTTTGTTGAATACACCAACACTTTGTATCTGTGTGTTACTGTTTGTGTTCAATACACCAATACTTAGTGTCTGTGTGCTATTGTTTCTGTTAAAAACACCAAAACTTAATTTTAGGGTGCTAATGGTTGTGTTCAATAAACCAACACTTAATATGTGTTTTGTACTGATTTTGTTAAATATACCAACACTTTTTATCTGTATATTACTGATTCTGTTCAATACACCGACACATAATGTCTGTGTGTTGTTCTTTCTGTTCAATACACCAAAACATAGTGATTGTGATACTGGTAATGTTTAAACCTTTGACACATAATAAAATTACACTAAAGCTTTACAGGGTAGTAAGTAATTGAAATGAAATGTGGTATGACCAAATTTTGGGGGAGAATCTGAAGCACTATTCTGTACAAACATCAAGAAATGAAGCGACATATTTTATGTTCACGGGGAAAGCAGTCATAGTTGTGCAAAATAATATATGTTTGATGTTTTACATGCTCAAATACATATTCATAGAGTGAACAATCATTACAAGGATTAAAAATGTCTTGCATATATTAGCATGGAGGAATAAGCCGCCTTAGTTGTGCGTTGCCTGCGGAAGTCGTCGACATGGTCGTAGGTGCAGTGAGGAAGTAGTGGCAAACCAGCCAATAGGTACTCTGTGAATGCAAGGATCATAACACCAGATGCGTTTCCACACAAGCATTGTGTTCAAACATCGGCATAAAATTATTATCCCACAAACACTCCATTCTAAGATTTAGATTGGTGCATGTGAAGTAGTACACATCATTTTCCTTGGGTCTTTCTCATGGTTGCACGTTTTTCCTTACAGTAACACCTACGTCGGTGTGGATGCTTGTCCTTCTCGTAACATAGTTTCCCCAATTGTTCTTGAGTGCCTTTAGTTGTCTTGAGTTCTTTTTTCCAAAGCTCATCTATATGCATATGCAAAACAAATAAAAGTGTCATTCCCTAGTATGTCAATGTATGCAATGACAATAATGTTGCACAAGCATAACCTAGAAGTGTGAAATCAAATATGCATCACATAGACTGTTAGAGTATATAACAATCATTCCTGGGCCACAACCACAAGCTTGAGCTTTTGGTTGAGTTGGTTTCTTTGACATGATATTGGAGCCTTGATGACCAAGAGGTCACGAGTTTGAAACTCACCGCCACCAGTTTAAAAAAAATTAAGATTTCACGTGCAATGCTAAAAAAAGGTCACGCTTGCACGTGAGAGGGCGTGTTAGAGTATATAACAATCATTCCTGGGCCACAACCACAAGCTTGAGCTTTTGGTTGAGTCGGTTCCTTAACATAGACACTAATTGTAGGTGCATAGAAGACATTCAAATACACCGAGACAAATTGTGCGAGTGACAAACATGTCCAACAAAAATTAAATGTAGAAAATAAGTATAAATATAAGTTCCTAAAATGGGACAAAAGGTTTTTAATACACATGAAAAATGACTAATGGTAACTTCAAACTAGCGTTATGCGTTGGTGCAAACCTCTGCCCTCATATACGCACAAGCATAATGTGCTGGTGCAAAACGAGTTCAAAACAGCAGAAATTGGTAGCAAAGTTTACACCTGCGACTCTGAATCAATTAATGGCAGACACATTTCAATTAAAGGAAAATTAAAATTGAAATTAAAACTGAAATTCCAATCAAACACGATAATTTGAGCATTAAAGTTACCGAGAATTTAAAATGGAACAGAATCACATGAGCACTAAATATAGGTGCACAAAATATAAACACATATAACCAGACATTCGATGTCAATGAAAAATATGTCCACACTTCTATAAATGCGAAAATATACTTCCTGTATTATACACACTTGACTTTTGAAAATTAGTATTTACAAATAAATTCATACAAAATTATTGTCTAAATTTTGAAATACATAACTTGCCATTTGAGGTGACAATCTTGTATCTCTTCTTTAAAAAAAATCTTTCAATCTTAACTTGAAATTAAAACTAAATTGAAATTCCAATTAAACATGGTCATTGAAATGTAATTTAAACTTCATATTTACCGAGAACTTTTGAGAAAAGGAGACGTCAACGAGAGAAGCCGCCGGACTTGCCGATTGGTCCAGTGTTCTCTTTTGCCTCAAGTATTGAAATTCCTCTCTCCATGGCCCAATTATAGATCTTCATCGGCCGGGTTATATATGTGTCGTCGGACCGTCGAAGAAAAGGGTTGGAAATTGTAGCCGCAACAGTTATGGTCGGAGATTGAAGTGAAGAGGAAAAGCTAGAAGTGGAAAAGAGGGGGAGAGAGTGAGAGTAACGTGGGGGGTGGGGGATTGGGTGGGTAATGGGGGAGTGAGAATAGGGTGAGGGTGAGTGGGTAATGGGGGTATTTTATTTGGGGTACAAAATGGGGTATGAAATGGGGTGTAAGTAGCATTTTCCTAAAAATAATGGTATACTATTACAAATTTAAATTTACGAGACAAAATCAATTATCTTTTGAAATTATTTTATTTACAAACTAGTATATCAATAAAAAATAAAAAATAAGATATTAAAATTGTCTAAAATTCTATAAAAGAAGAGGAAAAAGGGGACAGAGGGAGCAATTCACTTCAGAAATCATGAGAAATTTTATTTATTTGTACGTTTTCATCAATTATTTGATAAAATAAAATATTTTTTAGCACATCCTTTTTTGAAGAAATTTTTACGTAGTTTTTAAATGTACAAATTTTATTTTTTATTTCTATATCAATATTTAAATAAAGTTAATTAAAAAAAAATTAAATTTTTTTTTTGTAATGTGGCAAACATTTTGGAGTGGAGGGAGTAATAATTTCCCTTTAACTTTCAAAAACCATTCCTTCCATGGTCAATGCCCCGTTTCCTTCGTGTCATCTAGGGCCCCTAATTCCTCAAAGACGATCCTACTTTCGTTCTTCTAGGTTCTTTCTGATTCGTGTTATAATGTTTGATAAAGTTATTTTTAATTGTTTTTATATTAATTCAAGTCTATTGAGTTCTAACTTTGAGTCACTTGTCTTAAGCCGTGCTACTTTGGGTTGGAATTGGATGCTGGAAGATATTGGAATGAGTTAGAAGAAACTGAAAGAAGTTTGATAAAATTGAAAGGTTTTGAAAAATGTGGATAAAATTAAAACGTTGAAAAGTTTCTCAATTAAATGATCACTCAAATAAATATGTTAGAAAACTCTAATATTGGTTGAAAAAGAATTCATCCTCGTCCGCGTTTGAGGTGATATTATAAATTTCGATATATAATGTTACGGAGTATTGTATATTCATCATATATAAATAGCTTTTCTAAGTCATTGTTAGAATAAATGGGAAGAAGTTGGAAAAAATCAAAAGGAGATGAAAATAATTAAAAGTTAATCTTTTCAATCCAAACGAACAGAACCTTAAAGGCTAATGTATTAAACAAAGTTTTCTTTTCATGCAGAGTGTGAACTTTAGTCATTTTTCATTCAATAAAATTGAAAAATAATTGAACTTTCTCACTAAACTAATAGCTCAGTTCATGTCCACCTCTAATTTGATACTCTTTCCGTCTCGAAATGAATTATATTTTTTTGAGACCTACCTCTTAATAACTTCAACTTATTTATATATTTTTATTGATTATTTGCTAAAATAAAATATTTTTGTCATTTTTTATTTTGTAAAATTCTCAGCATAGTTTTAATATGTAAATTTTACTCCCTCCGTCCACAAATAAACTTTACGTTCACTATTCACAGGGTCAAACTTTATTCACTTTGTTGGCCTATTTTCGTCACTCATTTGATAAAATAATATAGTCATGTCACCTCTAGTTTTGTAAATCTTTTGATATAATTTTTTAATATGTAATTTTTATTTTTCAATTCTACACCATTTTTTATATAAAATGATTTGAAAATAACTTCAGTCAAACATCGTAACGCGTAATGAAAAGTTTATTTGTGGGCGGATGGAGTATTAATTATTTTATACCAATTTTTTAAATAAATTTATTTTAAAAAATATGGAATTTTAGCTCGTGAATGAAATTTGTAATCTAATTTGAAACAGATTGGAGAGTTCAAAAGAGATTTTTTTTTTTTGGTAAAAATTGATTTGCTAAAATTCCCCAAAAGCATTTTTTTAGAATAAAAAGAAAGGTGAAATGGGGAATGTTTGTCATGCAATAACCCCGCCGCCGGTTGCCGCGCTGCCGATAGCAAGAAGTCACTACTGCAGACTTAACGCCGCCTTTCCAAAACGCCAAGTCGCAAATATCCACAAAATGGAAAATGCGCCAAATTTCAAGGTATGAATCTCGCCTTGCGATCTCCATTGCTTCATTTCCACTGTGAAATTGAACCGATTGATTCTAGGGTTTCAGTAGTGTTTGAATCCATGTTCATCTGATTTGGGTTTCCACTGTGAAATTGAACCTTACAATGTAAATGTACGCTTAACTCTGGCATAAACTACCCTGAAAAGAACAAATTCTTGGTGCAGCTGATTCTAGGTTCATCTTCCATAGCTCGTCGAACTATTTTAACCGACATGGGTTATGAATTCACAACCATGGTATGTTGTTTCTCTGCGTTTTCGTGGTTTTTATGCATGGATTTGTGCTATTCTTTTGCTAGATTGGTTGCTTTATGATGCAGAGTGCAGATATAGATGAGAAGGGAATCCGGAAAGGGAAGCCGGAGGATTTAGTCATGGCTCTTGCTGAGGCAAAGGTTAGATGTTACGGAGTTTCAGAAGTTATTGCCTACTTTATGGTTTCTACCCAGTTATGGTTTCTTGTGATTGTGAAGAGACTTTCTTTCGTTGCTTGGTTGAGTTTTGCTCTATTCTTTTTTTTCTTGGATTACATATGAAACTCTTCTCATAATATCTGTGTAATTGGATTGCACCTTAGGCAGATGCCATTATATCGAAACTTCAAATGGGTGAAAGTCTAGAGAGTGATGCCACCCCCACACTTCTACTTTCGGCAGATACAGTATGTTCTTCACGCCCAACTTTCCTTGTTTTGGGGTTGTGAATATATATATATATATATATATATATATATATGTATGCATATGTATCTTACGGCTACATTTAAATGATTGGAGGTGGTGGTCTATGAAGGTATAGTGAGAGAGAAACCATCCAACAAAGAAGAAGCAAGACAGTTTATGAAAGGTCTTTCAACTGTTTTATTCCAATCCCTTCTCTAGTTAATCTTGTTCTCACCTTTTGAAAATGGCAGATTACTCAAATGGGCATGCATCAACAGTGAGTTCTGTTCTTGTTTCAAACTTGAAAACTGGAGTTAGAAGAGGAGATTGGGACAGGGTAGAGGTACAATATAATATGCTTCCAAATGATTATCTTTAGAGTATTTTTTGAACCGGGCTTCTAAATGTAACCGTTTGATCCGATATCTTCTATCTGACTAAATGGTGCTTGAATGACTGCTGGCAATAGGGCCTGTGTATTTTATTTTGCAAGATAATAAGAGTTTTAACTGAATGTCTGAATCGCAGATATATTTTCACACAATACCAGAAGAAAACATTGATAAGCTGGTAATTCATCTCTTCACTTTAATGTTGAAGTGATAGACTATTATTCGTTGGATGATACGGGCAATATAATTTCCCCTTTTTCTCATTTATCAGATTGATGAAGGAAGAGTGCTTTATGTAGCTGGTGGCCTCATAATCGAGGATCCCTTGGTATTACCTTGTATAAAAGAAATGGTATAATTTCGGATGCTTTAATCTGTAGAATCTCATAATCAAGAACTCTAATTTTGCATTTTAAAAAATTTAAAAAAAAAAATGCCAAAACGACATCGTCTTGATACTAAAGGAAAAAATGCAGGGGGTCGGCTGATATTTGATCAAACAAAACATACGGAGTATTTTGCATACAACTTGTCAAAAAGAGGCATGACAACTCAGATTTGATAAATTCAATTAAACCAACAAATGCATTTTAATAATAAAAAATGCATTTAAAAAAAATAATATAAATTTTTTACTCTAGCTATTCCAGTGTTTTCATGCAGTTTGATTTTTTTCCAATTATCTTAGTTTCCCATACCTAATTCATAACCTCTAATGCTTTGTATGATGACTTTGCACTGGGCAGGTTGGAACAACTGATAGTGTCATGGGACTACCAAAAGCTCTCACAGAGAAACTGATTAAAGAGGTTCTAGCTTGAAGTTCTTCACCACCCCATCAATATCTTGATGACTTGATCAGACATGAATTTTTTTTCGATTTTTTAATTACGCTACGTACTTTAACGGGCATGTTTATTACTCCTTAATTAATACTCCATGCATCCCTAAATTAAATTCATGATTTTTTTAAAACAAAATTGGAAAGTAAAAGTGTATGGTTGGAATTTGTTAAGAAGAAGGGAGAAAGTTCTTAAGAGTCGCATATTCCATTATGGTTTGTTTGGGAACCTGAATTTCATTTGAAATTCTGTATTTGGACCAAATAGTGTGTAATAAATTTTTACACTGTATATTTTAATTTGAGAAATTTACTTCAATTTAAATTGAAATCTTGTCTTAAATCATGGTCGGTCTAAACACAATTGGATCTACTAACAAACATAAATTTTGAATTTCTATTGCACATATGTCACATTTGCAATTTGCCAAACAATGGAATTCGATTTCAATCTCGACATTTCAAATTTTGAATTAAAATGGCCAAAATAAAATGAAATTCAATTATTCAAACACACGGCCTTATTACAAAAGTAAGTACAAATTTTATTTTTAGACGAATACAGAAGAAAAAACAATTTAATTTTCAGATCTCAAGAATTGGTTGTTGCTCATGGACAAGACATAAGATTCTAAAAAAGTTGAAGTGTCCTTTTGCATAGCGTGAAATCGTTGAAATAAAAGTGTTTAATAGTTGGTCCCGTTTGGTATTAGAAATTAGAGTTAGAGTTTTGAAAAGACTACATGACGGTAGCTTTAACCGTTAGCGTTTTGTGAATTAATCTATACTGTTGATATTTTATTCAAAATGCTAACGCTAATTGAAAACGCTCTTCTCAAACAAGACCAAAGTTCACATCAATTCTCTAAGATGAAGCTTAACTCATTTGTGGGATGGATTTTTAAGAATAAATTCCATAATTGATTCTTTATAACATGGGGGTTTCCATATTTAGTCCTTTATTATCAAATATTACCCCCGTAGTCCTTTTTTTAAGAGTACCTTTCCACAAATGGTCCTTTTTTTCATCTTCTGTCGTGTTGGTGTTAATTTAAAGGCTAAAAGTATAATTTGACATCAACATTATGTCTAGTGACGTGTTCTGATATTGGTTAAGCGGATAACACAAAAATAATGACTATAATTGTGGGCTAGGATTCTAACGAAAGATCACATTTGTAGACTATCGTTGTCGTAAAAAGTGACTGTAATTCACAAACGACGCAAACGGAACAGCCTTTGGAATTGTGTATGACAAAAAAGATATATTATCATTGTGAAATTACATTTTTAGCCCTCAAATTAACACCAACATGATAGAAGATCAAAAAAAGGACTATTTGTGAAAAGGTACCCATAAAAGAAGGACTACAGAGATAATATTTGATAATAGAGGAATAAATAGGGAAACCCCCCTATTATAAAGAACCAATTATAGAATTTACTCGATTTTTAATGAAATATTTAGTTTTTTTTTCAACTTCGGGAGGAATTTTCATTCAATCATAATGTTAGAAGATCTGGTAATGGAGTTGCTCCCCATTTTTTAGCCCATTAACAACCATTTGCATTTGGTCAAGGAATTAAACAAGGAAAATAAAAGAAAATGACGCGGAAAAATAATTCTTCTTGTCTAGTTAAAGAGAAAAATAAAAAAAATGAGAAAATAAATAAACTAACAAAGAAGAAAATAATTTTTCCTCCAATTTGGTGAGAAAAAAGGGGAGAAAAAGTTGATCATGAGAAATGAAAAATCATTTCTTGTTTACTATTTTAAAAATATTTAAATGGAGTAAAAACTTAATAGAGATTAGAGTATAGCATTCAAAAAGGAAAAAAAATGATGCGATCTTAGAACTTTGTAAGTATTAGCATGAGTGCTAATTTCCAGTAATGCTCCCTCTCCTTAGTATATATTCCCTAATAAAATTGCAAGTCTATTTAAATACCAACCAAAAAGAACACCAGATTTCGAGAGAGAAAAAAAAGATTCTTGAAGGCTTGAAGCAAAAGAGTTGCATTTAGTAGTATTGTAACAGAAACATAGGGGTTTTCGCGTTTTCCATAAATTTATGAACCCGACACGAAAACAAGAGATATCTGAGATCCAAACTCGACTTCCAAGTACATGCACCGTTCCCCAGAAAAGCTATCAACTCACTTCCTGCACTAACATCATCATTTACATTATCACCATCAAATCTCAACATTAAATCTAAGGTTTCTGCATTATCATCATCATTTGGACTCACATTCATTCAGTAAAAAATAATGTAACAAATTTTGCATACAGATTCAAAATAAAACACATTAGCATGTACCAAGTGAGTTGGGCTAAGATAGTCAAAGTCGTAAAGCGCAAATGTCCTCTATTGCCCAAGGCGCAAAACTAAGTGCTAGCCCGACTCGTAAGTTATCAAATAAGTTATGTAGTATTCAATGCAAAATCAAAGTATAGGCGAACACAGGACAATCCTTAGACACAAACTCATGGAAGGCGCATAATTTTGAAAACTTTATCTGTAGTAGTTCAAAATGAATAATGAATTATCAAACATGACATACGTGCAAACACCCCCATTATTATGTACCGGGTATACATTTCTTGATGGAAAATCTCTCCACTGAGTTGCTTGTAAACAAACATCAAGAAACATGGCATATGAAACATCACATAAAAGAGAAGATTTAATTATGTGTCAGAGAAGAGGAAAAGAAAAGCTTCCTCGGACTCTGTTTGGATTGAGGGTCCTCATTGCTCTTGTTTGGGAGATTTTTTTGAAGCGCAAGTTAGGATGCAAAGGAGTATTACTTTCGCCTTGTACGAAATTTCTTCACTAATCTTATTTATTCTTCCTCACTCTTATTTAGTCTTATACTTCAATTATACTCTTTGTACAAACAATGCCTAAGCGTTTACCGTAAAAAAAAAGGCTAAGCATTTGATTGGGTACTTCAACCACAATGTACCCCCAACTAATTCATACCATTTCTGTCCCAGAGTAAAACATTTTCGAGTAAAAAAGGACAAATTTTGTTCACCAATTACATAAAAATTGTATAACATGTTAATACAATATTGAATTTCATTAGATTGATCTTGCAGAAAACATCCAAAAAAAGCATTTCATTGTATTGATATGCAATGCAGTTTTTATGTAGTTGATGATTAAAATTCATCGGATTTGTTCTAAGGAGTACATGGCAATAGAATCAATTGTAATTGGCATGTCCACGAAATGGCTAACCTTTAAGACTAATCAGCATTATCCAGCATAGAATGTAAAGAAATTAGGGCAGGAAATTGGTAGAAATCACAGTTTATTATTATACCTGGATGGTGCTACCATGAAGCTTTCTTAACACCCTGCAAAGCCCCCTGATTGGCCAGGGAACGAAAGACGATCCGAGACATTCGAAACTTCTCGTAAACGGCGCGAGGGCGTCCGGTGAAGATGCACCGATTCCTCAATCGGGTGAAGGAGCTGTTCCGGGGAAGCTCCGACAGCTTCTGACGGTGCTGCTCCCGCAGATCCGCCGGAAGAGATGTATCGTTGCAGATGGCTTTGTAGAGCTTCCTCTTCACTTCGCATTTCGCCGCAAGGAATCGGCGCTTCTGATCTAGAATGTTCCGCGTGAACTTGCCCACCTTCCCCAGACTCATCTTCTCCGCTCCGGCGACGATTTCAGCTGCCGATTTTGGGGCGAATTCTGATAGTCACCTTGAAGACCAAATGGGCGACGGGGATTTGGGCCGGGCCTGGCCGGAAAAAGCGGACTACTTGAGAATTGAGATTGGGCCAATTTAACTTATGCTCCAAATGTTTTTTTGGTCGTGTCTGCGTTTGTGCGAATAATAGAGGGGGTGGCTAATTAATTAGATAACACTGATTTCTGATAATTCCAAAGGGGTTGTAGGTATATTGAAAATGTAGATGGGGACAAATCAAACATTTTTCTGAACAAGAAGTACATATTTAATTGCCTCAAACCAGTATTATAATCAATCAATAGCAGACAGAAAAATCAACAACCGCATACCCAAAATCTAACACAAACCCTATTCTTACATTTACTAGCTATGTAAGTAAAAAGATGATATTTAATCCAACTCAAATCATTATCCATATTCGGTTATTTTTCATCATGTAGCGTTTGATTTCTTGTTTTCCAAATCGTTAAGCAAGTCTCAGCTTTGATCTTCTATTTGAGCTCTCTACTTCAAAAGCTATTGAGTTTGGTTTAGAAACCATCAACAAAATTCTCTTGAATTTGGACTTCAAACCAACCAAACACCTGTGTCATAACCCCTTTGTATATTTACATTTAACAAACATGTTATCTTTATCTTCATTCATTTCACAACAGAGCATACATGTTTGATCTACCCCCATAAATCCAACATTTTAAAAACTCTGTAATACAAAGTACTCTCTCCGTAATTAAGAATTTATTTTTGAGATGAAGAAAGTACTTTAAAAAAATATTTTCTTCATCTCAAAAATAAATTCTTAATTTTAACTTCTCGTAGTTTAAGAATAATATTTAAACTTTAAAAAGTCTGATTCAAAATTTCTTATAAACAAATAACTACTCCCTCCGTCCCTGAGTATTTGTCCACTTTTGACTTTTTTCAATCAAAATTAGTAAACTTTGACCTCAAATTAAATAAAAATGATATTAGATATTGATAAAAAAAAATAATTTTATTAGATTTATTACATCAAATATTTTCAAAATATTATTTTTTCTAATTAAAATACTTATTTAATTATAGGTCAAATGTTAAAAACAGTTGACCAAAAAAAATCAAAACTGGACAAATACTCAAGGACGGAGGTAGTACAAGAATTATATGTTACATATGATTATCATTATCATCTTCGTCAAAAGTCAAATCCAAACATTATCTCCTTTGGAACTTTTTTTTGTCATCTTCGTCAAAAGTCAAATCCAAACATTATCTCCTTTGGAACTTTTTTTTGTCATCTAAGTTGTGCTCCCGGCCACAGCTACAACTGCAAATATTATGGAGATAAGTTACTCCCCCCCCCCCCCCCCCCCCCAAACCCCAACTCGACCTCACCCCATGTCGAAGCTCCCACACAATGGAGAGCCGGGGATTGAGAAGGGAACAATCCAGGCTGCCTTTCCATTGTTTTTTTTCCAGTTGGATTAAAAAACCTGAACCTCAAAGGCTCCAAAACACAAGGGGGGAGGGACTCATAAAGACAATCAATTTGTTTTACTCCATACGATAACCAAATACATGCAATACAGGATGACCCAATTTGAGTTTTTCTTTTTTTGGGTTGACCCAATTTGAGTTTCTTATGTCTCAAGAAGAAGAAGAAGAAGAAGAAAAGGAAGCAGCAAAACAATGAAGTTCACAAATGAAAAGTAAAAAAGGTCATTTCCACAGCCACATCCAAATTTACAATTCAGATCATCCTTGAAATGTCTCTAGAGGGTAAAGCCATTTGTTCACACTGAGAGGATGCCAAAGTCATGGGGCATAAAGTCTTCGCTGGGTCTGTAGTATTTGCCCGGAGAATAGAGGCTCAGATTTGTGACATGGCTCGTATACAAACACGCAAACCTCTCAACCTGAAGACACAAAAATAACATATAAACTTCTTCACTACTTTTAAGCATATAACCAAACCATGTACTTCGTATCAATCATATGTACTTCGTATCAATCAAATATCAAACCATGACTTTCACCCATAACCAACCCCCATCACAACATTCTGACCTGATGTGCAAAGCGAGAGTTCTGATACCCGGTCTTCATGAGTTGTCCCCAGACCTTATGGAACTGAAAAAATAGATTTTATTTATTTGAAATGGACCACATCTTTCATTTTAACAAGCTATATATATAGCAATTGCTTATTATCATTACCTTCTGATGATATTCTCGTTGAGCATGTTGATGAGCAAGCCTGACCTTCTCTCTCTGAGACTACACCACAGAATAAATAAATCAATCAAATTAGAGTCACGAGGGCTTCAGATTTAAGACTTCAGGAAAACAATACCAGAGAGGCCAATCACATTTAGCTAAACCAAAGAAAAAAAATTATTCCACGTCCAGCAGTTTTTTTTCCCTCACTTTCTGTTCAAAAATGTCCCTTTGGTTATCCTCTATGGAAGTTTATTTTTTTCCTTTTTTATCTTTTATTTATTATTAGCTTTTTATTATTTATGTATTTATTCCTGTGGGGGTTGGGGGGGGGGATGACTTATCTATTAAATAGGTTTATATGGACTAACCTCTAGTTCATTAAGTTCAGAAGGTACCATTGCTGCATCACCCTCCCCTTGGGACCTGAACATGTAATGTAAATATAATATTAAAAGAAATCATTGAGTTGGAGAATAGACAAGTATTGAGAAAGAGGGAGGTGTGTTGGTGGGGGTGGTAATGTATTTCATACAACATGGGGTGTTACAAGGAAACATGACAAAGATTACTAATCATCATGGGACTATTGTGCTTAAGCCAAATTTATATGCCACGGCTGGCTATTAACAAAGTTTTGATATAGATATCTCTGCTTAGGGGAAAAGCTGAATTACATGAGAGACCACTTCAGGCGATGTATTTCATTTTCAACATGATCACGATCATTCCTTAGCGACAAAAGTTGCTGCAAGGACAACAAACTTTCTCAGAACCGCAAATTAGGTAAATGTGCATCCACGGAAGAACAAGGAAAAAAGGTAACCGAAGGAATTGGCATGAGTGTAGTATTATTTGCTGCTATGAAAAATTATGACAGTTCATACTCGTATTTTAGATACCGAAATGATAAACAACAAAACTTTATATGCATCCATCAATAAGACCCAGAAGCTAACCAAAGAGGACATTGTCGATTTATTTCCCATTAGCATTAGATGTATTAACTTGCATATTCACTCTCGAGTTTCCCATTTACCTTCCGTGTATCCTTAAGTTCCCAGAGAAGTTCAATCTCTCTTTCAAGCTCTGGAACAACTAGCATTGTTCTCCAACCTGTAAAAATAACATTTAATCTCAACTAGAATAAGAACTCAATCCAATGATACTAATGTATTGAGAGAGAAACACATGTCCATGACCAAAGGCATACCTAAAACTTTTTTACTGCGCAAAATATCACCGTAAATGTGATCTCCAACATAAAGAACCTAGAGTGATAGAGCAAGTTCAGTGCATTAAAAATTTTCAAATCAATTGAGAATAGCTCAACGCACAAACCAGACAATTCCAATTATTTACGTCCACCTTTTAGAATAGCTTAGCCCCCATACTCTAAAAAACTTTAGCAAATATATAAATCTCTGCAACAATTTTTCATGCATGTGGACAAAAAACCTACAATGCTGCCAGTTTTGGATTTTCATCTCACCATTACTCCATAAAAAGGTTTTGAAAAAAACATCCCGTGTAAACCATTGCAACTATGGCCTCTTATGAATGAGTTTTATAATGTTAACCAGTTTTAGACAATCAATTGACATTGAATTTCAGCCCACGCCTTTTTTTAAGCTTTCAGCCCACTGATCCCAAGATAGTTGGGATTAAAGTTATGGTGAGATGGTTTGGAAGATACCTGTGAGCTAGACTCAACGTTGAGCAATTTGTGCAAATGGCCAACATTTCCTCCCTGAAAAGGGCACAGAAAGATAACAATCATACTCAGAATTATAAAAACATCCATACTTGCAGACAGATCACATATTTTAAATCTAGAGAAGCCACAATATCACAATTTATAAGAAATGAACTCATTTATAATGTAGGTCAGATACTATGTGACATCACTTATTGTCTTATACCTGATATACTCTGCAGTTTTCCTTTGAGCTCTTTGTTGGCAATCTTATGGTTGTTCCTCCCACCTAATTGGTTCATTTCAGAACAGGGAAAAAAATGAAAAATATAGACACCAATGCAGAAAATTTTAAAAAAGGATCATACTGACCAGAGCCATAGGTGTGCCATTATCAGTATTGATCAGCATCCCACTTTTAGGCTCCACCTCAAAAATATTAGCACGATTTTCATCATGGAAAAAGCCTGGTTTTGCACTGTAGATTAAAAAAGGGAACTTCAGTATTACACATTCAGTAAAAGATATGCACATCAAAACGACTGTAAATGAACGTAATGTTCTTTAAACAACTCGTGTATGGCTCGTTTAGTATCCATTTGGTTAATTAAGTAAGGCAGTAAACATTTATGGTACTTGTTTTAGGGCTTGAATATGAAAGAGTTTGAGAAATGAAAAGCTCCAGACAATGAGAAACTCTTCTGATAAAAACTTGTGAACAGCTTGATCAGTGTTCAATAAGCATGTTTATTGTTTGTGAACACAATCGATTAAAGCTTGCATGAAGATGTTTGTGAACAAGTTTGTGAGTGATAGTGTATTAAAATATTTCAATGATGTGAAAAAAGATGTTTGTTCATTTCATTGTTTCTTGAGGGCAAGTTCATTTGTTTGTTTACTGTTCCCATACGAGCTTGCTAGGGTTAAACATGAACACAAATACTTGTTTTGCTTGGTAAGCCTACTAAGCAACAATCTCAAATTATTAGCCTTTAAAGAACAATCCCGAACAGGCTAAACTTGGCTGTCCTCGTTCAGTTGCAGCCTTAATCAAGAGTGGGAAAGTAAAATTGAATTAGTGCAACAGCTTCTTATTGCTTTGTAAATGAAGCAGACAGTATATGTTCTATATAAAGTAGGGGAAGTTGATGACCTGCCAGTGATGACAACGTC